AGGGCCATTGGTCTACCCGTACAGGCCTGTCAGTCAACCATTTCAAGGTTAGGGCCATTGGGACCTCAGCACTAGTTCCCTCTTAGAGATCTGGAGCCTCAGTCCCTGTTAGGTCCCGTGTTCGGACAAATGGCATAGCCGGGGGCTGTTTTTGATGACCTAGATCAATACCTTATCTTTATTTCATTTTGGGTTGTCTATGGGATTGCAGGAATATTAAACTGAGTACCCTAATGTTGGAGGTTGGTCTAGTGCTCTGTGTATTCAGATGGTAAATTTTGGGCCCCAAGGTCTGGTTGAAGTCCAGACAGGTGCATTCTCACATACACTGAACTATGTTTTATAAACTTTGTTCTCCAATAATCTCTACTTGGTTAATTCAAAAGGTAGCCTTAGGGGGCTGGAGAGATGGCTCAGAGGTTAAGAACACTGGCTGTTCTTCCAAAGGTCCTGAGTTCAATTCCCAGCAACCACATGGTTGCTCACAACCATCTATAGTGAGATCTGGTGCCCTCTTCTGGTGAGCAGGCACACATGCAGGCAGAATACTATATAAATTAAAAATAAATAAATCCTAAAAAAAAAAAAAAAAAAAGTTAGCCTATAGCAGTGCAGAAGAGAGGTAGGCAGGGCTTTAGTTCCAGGGCAGATAGGGGCTATGAGGAGAAAGGAAGAAGATGGAGAGGAAGGACATGACCTGATGGAGCAGATGCAGCCCACACAGGAGTATTGGCATGTAACATGGGGCACGTGGCAGGGAAGTGGCCAGCCCAGCTTAGAAAAATAGTGTACATTGTACCCACCCAGTTATTGTACTTAAAGGTATTTAAATAAATCAGTAGTTCTCTGTTTCAATTATTTGGGAGCTAGCTGGAATTTAAAAAACTAGAATTAATAGGTTTCAATATACACTACCCCACTGTTGTAGATCCCATAATTGGGTATGTCAACCACATAAGACCTTCCTATACGGCCTTCTGGTCCCACGCATTTAACCCATCACACACTTTGCTTTACACACTTTGCTTTTAGATAACTTTCTAACAACCAAAATGAGTATAAACTTTTGACATTCTATTATTCATTCTTGGTTCTTCCAGATGGTTCTTCTTTGGTTCTTCTGTGTAGCCTTGGCTGGATTTTATAGACCAGGCTGGCCTCTCAAACTCAGAGATCCACCTGCCTCTGCCTCCTTGAGTGCTGGGTTTATGGAGTGCCCATTAGTAATTCTAAGAGTTTTGTGAAATGATAGTTACATCAGCTCCAGCAAACCTTTGTTTGCAATTTTAATTTTGGCCTCTGGTCATTAATTGATTGCCAGAACACATACATTTTCCAAGACTTCCAAAGTACTCCCATTCTTTCTTTTTTTTTTTTTGTTGTTCTTTTTTTAAAGATTTATTTATTTATATGGTATTTTGCCTGCACGTGTGCCTGCACGCAAGAAGAGGGCACCAGATCTTATTATAGATAGTTGTGAGCCATCATGTGGTTGCTGGGAATTGAACTTTGAAAGGACAGCCTGGTCTCCAGTGCTCTTAACCTCTGAGCCAACTCTCCAGCCTCACCCCCAGTTGTTCCTACTGGAGTGGCTTTGCATTTGACGTGGGGAAACAGCAGCAGCTGAGCGATCCTATCACCTGTGTTAGATTGCATCTCTCTTTCCATAAAGGACATAGTTTTAATTTCTTCTCTAAAATCTTCATCTATACTTCCTGGATACACAATGAATCCTTGGGAAGACAATCGACTCCTTCCCAAGATCATTCCTACGGTCTCCTGAGGACAAAGGACCATAAGCCCCCAGTAGTTATTTTGTAACACTGATTTTTTGGGAATAGAGTAAATGTCTATCTGTGGCCAAATCTAGAGCAGCACTGACTTCAGGAGCATACATGAAATCTCCAACACCAAGTGGAGCTTTTTCGGTGTGCATGGTACTCCTTGACTGAAAGGGCTGGTAATTTTTGCTTCTGAGATCTGAGCCAGGCCCCCAAGGCAGGTTCCCAACGGTAAGAAATTATCTTGAATATCTCTTTTGGATCTGTTCTCCTGAGCCTTTGGCACATTGCATACACACACCTGGGAAACCTATGTGTTCTTTCTGGTTAAGAGTTAGGAAAACTGGTGGCTGGAGAGATGTCTCAGAGGTTAAGAGCACTGGCTGTCCTTCCTAAAGGTCCTGAGTTCAATTTCCAGCACCCACATGGAGTTTCACAAACATCTATAATGAAATTTTATGCCCTCTTCTGGTCTGCAGACATACACATGGACCAAATACTGTATTACATAATGACTTTAAAAAAAAAAAAGATTTAGGAAAACCATTGCCTCTAGAAATGGCTTGTTCACTCTTTCAGCACAAAGTACAGTATTTCTCACAGTTAACACACTGGACATTTTGAATCTGTTCTTGTATATCAGAGTACTGTTCTTCACTTAACAATTGGTCCCTTACTATATTCATTCCCCTTGCAATTTAAAATATATGAAGAAGAAAAACAAAACAAAACAAAACAGGAAATCCCTTCTGGGTACAAGCAGGGGATATTCCAGCATTAGCAGCCACAATACATTTTTTTGCTGGCCTCTTGAAAAAAAAATTCAGTTCTTCATCCCCCACCATTATCTACGGCATTTGAAATCAAATTTCCAATTTTGTTCCTTTATTGAGCCCCATGTTGGGTGCCACTTGTAGCCAGTCTTTGCTATTTTTGTGGATTCTTCTTTTTCAGACCCTTATCCACCCCCTCTGTCATTTCACCCCCTAACACTAGCTAAGAGAAAAACAACGATAAAGGGGGAAAAAGATTCCTGAGTCTAATTTCTTTTCTTTTGTTTCTTCTTTGACCATGGCTTCTAATAAACCACAACCACCCTACCTTTCCTCTCAAGTTCCCAGAATTCCAAACACCACACAAACACAAAAATTATCTGCAGTTGGCAAAACCACGCATCTGCTAGAGCATAAGGCATAAGCATAAGTCTCATAGTCGACTTCTGCAGACAGTCTGAAACAGCTCCATAACTCCACACCTGAGATTAAAATAAAAGCACATTCATAGATTTCTGGGGTTTTGTTTGTTTCTTTGTTTGTTTGTTCAAGACAGAGTTTCTGTATGTAGCAGCCCTGGCTGTCCTGGAACTCACTATGTAGACTAGGCTGGCCTTGAACTCACAGAGATCCACCTGCCTCTGCCTGGGATAAAAGGTGTGCACCACCTTTGCCTGGCTATGAGAAACCCTGTCTTGAAAAAAAAATATATCCAAAATTCTCAAAAAATGTCACTACAAGTTTTCCTGCATGTATGTCTGTGTGAGGGCATTGGATTCCCTGGAACTGGAGTTACAGTTGTGAGCTGCCATGTGGGTGCTGAGAACAACTGGAGCTCTAAACTACTGCGCCATCTTCTCACCAAAGAGACTTTAGAGATGTATTTAGTTACTTATTTTGGTTTTTCTCCCTGCTGTCCTAGGAGTCACTCTGTAGACCATGTTGGCCTTGAGCTGAGAGATCTACCTACCTCTGCCTCCCAATTGCTGGGATTAAAATGTAGACCACCACACCCAGCTCTCTCTCAGTGTGTGTCTGTCTGTCTATCTGTTTGTCTGGTTTAGACAAGGCTTTAGGTGTTCCAGGCTATTGCTTTGAATTTTAATCCTTTTTCCTTAGCCTTCAGAGGGCTGAAATGATAAATCCATGGCACCATGTTCTGCTCTTACTGATGAGCTCTGGACAGTAGTAATCCTAATACAGAGAAAGAGGAAACATCAGCCATTCCAGGAGAGTATTGTCCTGGCTGGAGAATTACTTCAAGACCAGCCTGGAAAATTTAGCAAGACTGTCTCAAAGAGAAAATGCTAGGGCATGATAGTGCACACCTGTCATCCGGCACTCCTGAGTCAGAGGCAGGAGGATCAGGGACTCAAGATCATCTTTGGCTGCATAGGAAGTTTTGAAGTCAATCTGGGCTGTATGAGACCTTTTCTCAGAAAAAAAGGAAGTGAGTGCTTGGGGGCGATTGTGTGTTGCTGTGGCTCAGTGGGTGGCTCAGTAGCATTTAACTGCATCAGTTAAATCAGACCTGCTAGTGCAGGTCCCTCACTGGGGAGGTGGAGACCGGACGCCAGGACGTTAAGATGTCAAGGTTAGCCCTTATACATCTAAATTGGAGGCCAGCCTGAGCTACATGGGACTATGAATGGATGGATGGATGGATGGATGGATGGATGGATGGATGGATGGATGGACGAAAGAATAGGGATGTGGTACTAGTTATACTTCTTTTGCATCTTCCTAAGGCCCTGTATTCCATTTGCGCGCGCGCGCGCGCACACACACACACACACACACACACACACACACACACGAAAAGGAAAAGAAAAAATAGTTCAGCCAAGGCTACACAGAGAAACCCTGTCTTGAAAAACATATAAACTAATGGAAGGAAGGAAGGAAGGAAGGAAGGAAGGAAGGAAGGAAGGAAGGAAGGAAAGAAGGAAGGAAAAGATAGGGCATGGTGGCGTACGCCTATAAAGCCAGTACTATGGAGGCAGAGGAGGCAGATCTCTGTGAGTTCAAGGACATCCCGGTCTAAATACAGCGAATTCCAGGACAGTCATGGTTACATAGTGAGACTCAGTGTAAAAAAAAAAAAGTATGTGTGTGTGTGTGTGTATCTACATATACACATATATTATGTATATATAATATATGTGGTGTATGTTTATATATACAGAAACAACAAATAAAATTAAGCAGAAACCAATCAAGCAAATAAGAAAGTAAAAAAAACCCTCAAAAACTCAAAGAACTTCGATATAAAAAGAACGAATCAAAAAGAGTATTTCTGCGCATGCTCTTTTGCCAATACACTTTGCATTGACTCATGGGAGTTGTAGTTTTACTCTGGCTTGTTTCGCGGGGCCAACCCTAAGTACGGTTCCGGCAGTCGCAGAACTACAATTCCCATCTGGTGGTGCGCGCGTGCGCAGTGCGGGCAGCGGGCGGCATGTCGGCGCTGAGCTGGACGCGAGGTGCAGCGGCGTTCGGCCGGTCCCTGCACTTCCCTGGGCGCCGTTGCCATGCTTCGGAGGAAGGTAAAGCAGCGTCAGACCCAGGGCTGCGATCTTTCCCTCCTTGGAATCCGGTCACCGGCAACCTTTGCTCTTTGACCTATGGAGGAGTTTCTGGAACCCCGTTTAGCTGGGGCACTAGTTGGCACCGTCTCTCGAGGGGAATCGCAGGGCACTTAGACTTTTGACACTTGCGCACTTTTGTAGCCCTCTGACCCACGTCGAGGACACGGATTTTGACTTTGACCTTTGGCTACTTTTAGTTTAGAGTCCCGCTGGATCCTGCATCACGACAACGGAAGCTCTGGCCTGGTCTGCCCTTGATTGAACTTGTATTTTCCTGGGCCTTGATTTTTTTGGAGGAGGGATGCTGAATTCGAGCACATGCCGTACTGCTTCCAGCTTCCTGGGTGCGGGGATCACGGGCTTGTACCAGCATGCCTGGCTATCCTTGTCTTTTTTTTTTTTTTTTTTTTTTACTAAGACAGAGTTTTACTGTGTAGCCTTGGCTGTTCTGGACTCGATCTGTCCTCGAACTCACAGAGATCCACCTGCCTCTGCCTCTCTGAGTGCTGGGATTACAGGCGTGGGCACCGTGTCTTTTAATGCCATTTCCTTCTGGGCATGAGCAAAGTTTGAGGCAGGATTTCGCACTATCCTAGGCTGAACTGGAACTCACTGTGTAGCCCAGGTTGGACTCCAGCTGGAGAACCTCCACCTCGGCCTCTAGAGTGCTGGGGTGGTAAATGTGCATGCCCTGGTGCCCACCTGCCTGCTTCTGTATTCTCAGCCTTCATGTTTCTTTCCAGGGATCCTCGGGGGCCTCTGCAGCTTACGAAGACGCTCTGCTGCCAGTCCTTGTGAGCAAGTTGTGCAGAAAGAGTGGGGCCATGCTGAGCTGCTGGAAGGTGAGTTGGCATCCTGGCCCTTCCAGTCTGTGCTCCTTACAGTGAGGTCATGAGGGAGTGGCCTCTGCACTGTACTTGACCACACCAGGGTAATGTGTAGAATGTGGTGCAGACTCCCATGGGCAGGCAGCGCTGGCCCCATGTCTGATTTGTGGTATGTTGGGTCCTCTTGTGTGCTGTGTGTTGGTTCTGAGAGCTGTTATAATTCCATTCCATGAGCCCCAGATTCCCACATGGGACTCTCACTTCCAGCAAGACAGTTAAAACCCCCAAATTAAACCTGAACAAACACCTGAGGTACATTTGCTGACATGGTCCCTGCTGAGGGAGGAGAGTCTCCAGTTTGAGTGCTGCACAGTCGAGGTGCAGTTGGGACCTAGTCTGTCTGTCTCTGTCTCTCTGTTTCCTTCTTGGTTTTTTGAGACAGGGTAGCCCTGGCTGCTTTGTAGCACAGGCTGGCCTTGAACTCAGTGATCTGCCTGCATCTGCTTCTGGAGTGCTGGGATTAGAGGTATGTTCCACCACTGCCCGCCTTTGGAACTGTGGCTGTTTGTATGCTGTGATCCTGGCCAGGCTTTGGCCTTTTTGTGTGCTAGCTAAGTCACTTCTGAAAGCTATGTAGCAGGGGACCACTGAGTAGTGTTTTGGAGAAAAGATATGTGTATGATCAGCTTACTTATGGTAATGAGCCAGGGATGTTTGCTGTGTCTCTACCAAGGTGTATCAAGTGTGTGTGTATATCAGAAACAGCAAATTACTATATGCTGGCCAGTGCCAGTGTGTGCAGAGGCCCTGCTGTGAGAGCCCTTAAGGCTGGGAGGTACGAAGGAGGGTGAGCAGGAGGTTTGGCCGGCAGAGCCAAGGGTATGATGCCCGGGAGAGTTTGGGATGGCCCTGGGGTCTAGGCCGAGAGCATCCTGAGATGCAGGCGTGGTCCCTGTCCTTCCCTCTGCTGTCTGCAGTGCTGGAGGCTCGGGTGCGGCAGCTACAGGCAGAGAGCATGTCTGAAGTGGGGGTGAAGGAGGTGAAGACTGACCAGCCTCCACAGAGCCACAGCAGCCGCTGGGCGAAGAAGCTGGAACGTGAGAAACGTGTGAAGCAGAAGCGCCAGGAGGAATTTTTTGACTACGAGAAGCAAACCGTTGGCTTTGACAGGGAGCCCGTGATCTGGAGCGGGAAGCTGGCCAGCTACCTGCCACACAGCAAGAAGGGGTCAGTGCAGGAAAAGCAGCTGGCCCGGACTCTGCAGGCCGCTCTGAAGAAGTTCGGCTCCCACCCTATAGAACCCAAGGCCTGGATGAAGACCAAGGTAATGGAGCCTCAGATCCTGCTCCTCCAGCAGAAGTTGCTGACTTTCTTCAAGTGTTGTGCCTGCACCGGCCACCTGCCCCTCGCCTACCACGTGCTGGCCTCTCACCACGCCCATCGAGACAAAAGGCTGCTGCTCACGCTGGACATGTATAACGCCGTGATGCTAGCCTGGGCCCGCAAGGTGAGTGCCCTCAGTTCCTGCCTTCTGCCAGAGAAATCCCTTCAGGTTTTTCAAATTGAAAATGTTCTTCCCTTAAAACAAACAAACAAAACCAAAAAAACCCTGAACCCAGAAGATCCAGGAGAGGTGGTGCACCTTTAATCCCAGCACTCAGGAGGCAGATGCAGATGGATCTCTGAGTTCAAGGCCAGCCTGGTCCACACGGTAAAATCCTGTGTCCTGCCCTGTGCTTCCAGTAATAAGAGATTAGGAAGGCCTTAGCTTAGTTCTGTGCAGGACTTTTAAGTCTCCTGAACAGGACTGTCCTTGCTGTCCCAGTGGCCCCTGAACCTTGGGGGACACATTCCACGCTCTAGGGTGGGGAACTTGCTCTTTTTCATAAATCCCTTTGGTTGAAACTCGGGAGTGCTGTGAGAGGTCCATGTCCTCAGTTTCTTCCCCAGTATCTTAGCAGGCTAGAAGAATGTCAGTCTGCCTGGGAAAAAGAGCAAGATCCTATTTCAAAGAGAGAAAAACAAAGTAGCAATGAGAAAAGAAAGACAGGAGGCAGACCTCCTCCGAGTTGGAGGTGAGCATGATCAACAGAGTGAGTTCCAGGCCAGCTAAAGGCTACACAGTGAGACTCTGTCTCAACAAACAGCAAAAAACCAAAAAACAAGTCCACAATAACACACAAATCCAGAAGGTATAAGCTCGGAGGCAGAGCACATGCCTGGCCTGCATGAGGTTCTGGTCCGATCTCCAGTGATGCAGCATCTGTCAGAAGGATACCCTGTGGTCCCACGTACTGCCAGGCTCCCTCCCACTCACTGAGGTGAAGGCTGGGTTTCTGGGCACACAGAGGGTGGTTGTTGGCTGTTCTTGGCCCTTACCCACCATCCCTTGTGCCCAGGGCTCTTTCAAGGAGGTAGTATATGTGTTCCTCATGATGAAGGATGCTGGCTTCTCCCCAGACCTGTGGTCCTATGCAGCCGCGCTCCAGTGCATGGGACGCAGGGACCAGGACGTCTGCACCATCCAGAGGTGCGCCGGGAAGATGCTGGGGCGGCCCTGCCCCCTTGGGGCCCTGCCCTCTCTCGAGTGCTGAGTTTACCTTACATTTCCTCAGGTGTCTGAAGCAGATGAGGGCAGAAGGCTTCCAGCCCCAGCTGCTCTTCACTGACCTGGTCCTGGAGGAGGAGGATCGGGCCGCGGTCCTGAGAGCGGTGGTCAGAGCTGAGCCTGCCTTCAGTCCACCGCCGCAGGCCCCAAACCCAGTCAATACGTCCACGCTGCTCAAGGAGGTGTATGCCAAGGTGAGCCCCAGGCATGAAGCTGCTGTGACAGCCCCATTTCTGTCCCCTGCATCGGGAAGGCTGGACTGCAGGCACACCACACTGTAGGTTTGTGCCTTTACAGATCTACTTCTACAAATCTACTTCTTGCTTCTCCTGCTCTGGACATTTCCTATGATGGAACCCCTTACTGTGTGGACTTTTGTGCCTGACTCTCTGATGACAGTGTCCTCATGGTCCCTACATGCTGTGGTATATGTTGGAGCCTTGCTCCTATTCATGGCTCAATAGTATTGCAGTAGGGCCTTTTGTGTGTGTGTATCACCTACCCATGGACACTGGGCTATTCCTCCTGGTTGTTGGCTGTCAGGTGTCTGTCAAGCTGCTGAGTACACACGTTTTCTTTTTTGTTTTTTGTTTTTCAAGACAGGGTTTCTCTGTGTAGCCTTGGCCTGGACTTGCTTTGTAGACCAGGCTGGCCTTGAACTCACAGAGATCTACCTGCCTCTGCCTCCCCGAATGCTGGGAATACAAGACCTGCGCCGCCACGCCGGGCGAGTGCACTCACTTTCATTCTTAGTGCTGTGGGTCTTTACTTTGAGTGGGCACATGTTTGACAGTCCGTGAGGAGGCTCCTTGCCAGGGCAGGGTGGTCTGTCTCCCGTACTCAGCCTCACTGCCTGCCTGTGGCCAGCAGGAGGGCCCTGTGTCCTACCCGAAGCTGCACCTGCCCCTGGACACCCTGCAGGAGCTCTTCCACCAGCAGCTGAATGTGGAGCTGAGCTCCCACGTCTCTGTCCAGTCGGTGGAGAAGGCCCCAGTAATGACCAGGGAGGTCATTGAGGCGGTAAGGGCTCACCCTGAGGCCACTGCGTCTGTCATAGCCTGCATAGTTTGGAGCTGTGACCCCAGTCGGGGTCTCGGCGGGGGGACTCTGAGCTCGGCATAGTGACCGTAGCTCTCCCACAGCGGAAGACCCTGAAGGCGCTGCGGAGGCAGTGGGAAGTGGAGCTGCTGCGGGTGCTGCAGCAGACCAAGGCCACCACGGCCCACCAGGCGCATGAAGGCCAGCCCACGCTCTACCCCTTCCTGTGCCTGCTCAGCGAAGGGGAGTATGTGAGCATGCTGATGCAGGTGGGCCAGGGCCGGTGGCCCCCGGGCGGAGGGCAGGCGGCCCCCGGGCGGAGGGCAGGCGGCCGTGCTCAGGTGGCCATGCTCAGGCAGCCACAGCTTGGCTTCCTCTGGCTTCCCAGGTTCTGCAGGCACTGCCAGCGCAGGGCGAGCCCCTCCTCTACCTGGCCCACAACCTGGGCCTTCGGGTGTTAAACCGGTATTTGGTGAAGCAGAAGCAGGCCACCGACCACCTGCAGAAGCTGCAGCAGCAGTACTCACAGTACCTCCGGCTGCTGGCTTCCGACTCGCAGGTAGAGTGGGGCAGGCTTCCTGCTGGCCCGGCCGCCTCCCTGGCAGACATCCCCGCCCTGTGCGCCTCGCTCCGCTCCCAGCATGCTCCACCGGCATCCCTCCCCCTCACACTCCTCAGGCGCCCCTGCCCCCAGCTCCATCAGTCCATCTTTGCCCCAGTCCCCTCCTCTGGGAAGTGTGGGCAGCCCTGCGGCCCTCCTGACCGGCCCTCCCTGCAGGTGGCGCCCTGCCTTCCCCGGGTGTACTGGGAATCACTGGGCCCCCAGGAGGCGGCGCCGCAGCAGCAGCCCTGGTCTCTGGCTGTGCTGCTCCAGCTGGGCAAGCAGCTGGCTGAGTTGTTGGTGCAGGCGGTGCAGATGCCACGCAGCCTGGTGTCTCCGGAGGGTTCCCACCGCCTCATCCCCGTGCTCTACCATGTCTATTCCTTCCGAAGCTACCGCCAGGTGAGCCCACAGGACCGGCGCCAGGGTGGGCCCCTCCCGTCCTGAGGAATTGAATGGAGCTTGAGGACACAGGGCAGCATGGCTGTGCCATTCTGTGGGGCGCTGAACAATCTGGGCAGTGCTGCCCCGCCAGCCCCATCTGTGCTAGGATGTGTGTGTGAAGAGTGGGAGGGGTTGGCGACATTAGTCCGGGGCTCTGGGTTTTCAGTTCTGGGTTTTCAGTGTGGTGGCAGAGGGGCCCCCGGCGTGCAGCCTCTTGGCCATGGCTTTTGTGTCTGCTGTCTCCCCCCAGGTGGGCATGCTCAAGCCTCACCCAGCCTTCGCTCAGCTGCTGGAGACAGCAGCGGAGCCCACACTGATCTTCGAGACCACAGAAGTGCCTATGCTGTGCCCGCCGCGGCCCTGGACATCGCCACACGCTGGCGCCTACCTGCTGAGCTCCCCCAAACTGATGCGCACGGTGGAGGGTTCCACGCAGCACCAGCGTCTCCTGGACGGCTGCCCCCCTGCACAGCTGCATGGTGCCCTGGATGCGCTCACGCAGCTGGGGAACTGCGCCTGGCGTGTCAACGGGCGCGTGCTGGACTTGGTGCTGCAGATCTTCAGGGACAAGGGCTGCGCGCGCCTGGGCGTGCCTCCCCCGCGCTCAGAGGCACCACTGCCTACACAGCAGGACCCGCCGCCGTACTCGACGCCTGCGCACAAAGCCGATCTGCGGAAGGAGCTGGCGCGCTGCCTCAAGACGGCCCGGGAGATGCACAGCCTACGCAGCGAGGCCCTGTACCGCCTGTCGCTCGCACAGCACCTGCGCCATCGCATCTTCTGGCTGCCGCACAACATGGACTTCCGTGGCCGCACCTACCCCTGCCCGCCGCACTTCAACCACTTGGGCAGTGACCTGGCACGGGCGCTGTTGGAATTTGCTGAGGGCAAACCATTGGGTCCAAAAGGCCTGGAGTGGCTCAAGATCCATCTGGTCAACCTGACTGGCCTCAAGAAGCGCGATTCGCTGCGCATGCGCGTAGCCTTCGCAGATGAGATCATGGAGGAGATCTTGGACTCTGCAGACAACCCCTTGACGGTAGGGAGTCACGCGCTCCTCTCCCTGGCTGCCCCTATCTCTCTCTCCTCTCTTTCTCTGTCCCTCCCAGCTTGTCCACTCTGGCTTGGGCTTCCTCCCGTAGACGCTCTCAACCCTTGACCTCAGCTGCCCACATCCCTTCTGCCCGCCATGTCGCCTCTCAACGCCATCGGTACCCTAACGCAGCAGCCGCTGCCAGCTGCCACCCGAGCAGCCCTCGTCACCTCTGTGCATCACACAAGCTTGCCTTGTGTCCCCGTGTCACCCGAGCCAGCTCGTGCTGACTGAGGCCACGGGTCCTCCCTTCCAAAGGGCCGAAAGTGGTGGATGGAAGCTGATGAGCCCTGGCAGACCCTGGCCTGCTGCATGGAGGTGGCAAAAGCAGTCCGGTCTCCGGACCCCGCTGCCTACGTCTCCCACCTGCCAGTTCACCAGGTGAGCGGGCGAGGGGCGTGCCCATGGGGGCTGTCCCCGAGAGGCCCTAGGAGCTGGCATTTGCAGTAGGCTCTTAACAAACTGGGATTGCCCAGTGGGACTGGCCTCCTGGGGCCCTGTGAGAGAGGCTGGGCCCCAGGCAGTGGGACGGCCACTTCCAGGGGTGACCTGCACTGGGTCGCTTGGGCTCAGCTCACGGGCACCCCTTGTGGCCAGGATGGCTCTTGCAACGGCTTGCAGCATTATGCGGCACTGGGCCGGGACAGCGCAGGCGCCGCCTCAGTCAACCTAAAGCCCTCGGACATACCCCAAGACGTGTACAGGGAGGTGGCAGCACAGGTGGGTGCCGGGGCACGCCTCCTGTCCCCACCGGGGGTTGCTTTCCTGCAGTGCCTGGATGGGGGTCCTAGTCAGGGACTGTCATCACAGGGCTTCCCTGCCCCCTTGCCCCATCCAGGTGGAGGAGTTCCGCCAGCAGGACGCCAAGAAGGGCCTGCAGGTGGCCCAGGTGCTGGAGGGCTTCATCAGCCGCAAGGTGGTGAAGCAGACAGTGATGACCGTGGTGTATGGGGTCACGCGCTACGGCGGGCGCATGCAGATAGAGAAGCGCCTGCGCGAGCTCAGTGACTTCCCCCAGGTGTGCAGCCTGCCGGTCCCACCTGAGTGTGGCTCCCCTCAGCGGGGGCCCTGAGCCTGTGCTCTGGTTGTGGGGCACAGAGAGGGTGAGTGTGCCGCCCCGCTCACCTGCCGTTCCTGTCTCCCGCCTGGTCCCCACAGGAGTTTGTCTGGGAAGCCTCCCACTACCTCGTGCACCAGGTCTTCAAAAGTCTCCAGGAGATGTTCTCCAGCACGCGGGCCATTCAGGTGCGTCCCTGCCCGTCCTCTCCCATCTGGGGGCCCTCTACCCCGTGGTTCACCCACGCAACCAGGTGTATTGTCACACCCACAGCAATGGCTCACGGAGAGCGCCAACCTCATCTCTCACGCGGGCTGGCCCGTGGAGTGGGTCACGCCCCTGGGCATCCCCATCATACAGCCCTATCACCGGGAGGTCAAGGTCCAGGTACTTGGAGATGCCCTTCCCTCCCCTCCCCTCCCCTCCCCCCTGCCCAGGGCTGGACTCACACACCTGCCCCCACCCCGGGTCTGCAGATAAAAGGCGGCATCCAGAGCATCACCTTCACCAGCTCGGTGGACGGCACTCAGTGAGTCTTGGACTTCAGGGAGGGGAGGGGAGAGCAGGAAGGAGGGACAGGTAGGGTGCGGGGTCAGAAGGGGACCGGGCCTTGAACTCCTGGCTCCACAGGAAGCCCAACACTCTGAAGCAGAAGAACGGCTTCCCGCCCAATTTCATCCACTCCCTGGACTCCTCCCACATGATGCTGACTGCCCTGCACTGCTACAGGTGGGTCCCAGGGGTCCGTGGAGGGCCTAGGCTGTGTGGGCACTCGGCCTGTGACATTTAGCTGCCCGGGACATGCCAGCCCTGCTTTGCTCTCTGGGGATACAGGGGCATGGTAGGACAGTGACGGTGAGGTCCAGTCTATTGGGTGGATGCTGCCCATGAGGGGCAGGGCCGGGGGGGTTATGCTGTGAGGTCGCGGGTCCTTGGACCTGCCACTGGACTGAGCTGGGGTTGGGACAGGGGCTCAGTTTACTACCCCAGGACCCAGCAGTTTTCCAAGGGGTTGTAGGGTATCTTCTCCTTGACTATCTACTGCGGGAACATTGGGGACCCTGGGCGGGCAGGGACCCCGGGGCAGACACACAGGGCACCTATCAGAATGAAGCTGGGGGCAGTAGGGGGACAGGCAGCTGTCTCATTGGGGGCCTCCCTGTCCAGGAAGGGCCTGACCTTCGTCTCAGTGCACGACTGCTTCTGGACGCACGCCACTGACATCCCGGTGATGAATGAGGTGTGTCTGCTCCCTGACCCCCGGTGGCCCCAGCAGTAAAAGATGGGCCTCAACCCCGTGGCATGTCTGACTCAGGGCCTGCCACCCCGCAGGTGTGCCGCCAGCAGTTCGTGCGCCTGCACAGCCAGCCCATCCTGGAGGATCTTTCTGTGTTCCTGGACGAGCGCTTCTGCTCGGACTCCAGGTGAGCCACCCCTGTTCTGGTGGCCTGGTGCCCTGCCTGCCGCCCGCGCCCCACTCATGTCTACCCCACCCTGTTTGCAGCATCGCGTCCCTGAAACCCGCGGACCGTACTCTGGTCACCAAGCTGCAGGAGACGCTACAGTCCTTGCCAGAGAAAGGTAAGGGCTTTAAGAGGGGCCTGCGCGCTGGCCCTCGAGGGCACGGCGGTGGCCCAGAGCCTAGCTCCGTGCTCTTTTGGTTCCACAGGCACCTTCGATCTGGAACAGGTGATGCGATCCACCTACTTCTTCAGCTGACCCTCCCGGTGCTGTCCCTAGACCTGTGCAGAGTGTAAATAAATCAGTCTGCGTCCACCCACCAAGCACTCAGACCTGCTCTGGGCGCCAATGCTGTCGTTTATTGCGCGGAATGGGGTGTGGGTTAATGGGGCGTGGGGGCCGCTGCTGCTGCCTCGTCAGTACATTCATGGCGACGGCGGGGACCCAGCCTCGCCCCCACGCCGGCTTGGCCATGAAGCCCACCCCTGGGTGCCCGAGGGAGGTCACCACGGACGCGTGGGCAGGGGCCGGGCTGGTTATTGCGTGAGCTTGCTGGGGGCAGCGGGAAGCCGGCGGGCCGAGTATTGCACTTGATCTATAACCCTCCTTGGCGGCCACCGCACATGCGGGGGCACAGCCGGGCCCTCGGCCGGGCCGCCCCGTCCCCGTCCCAGGTTGGGGCTGAGGCACCGAGGTGATCGCGCCCCTCCCTTTCCCGTGCGGCCGCCGCTGGGGCAGGGGCGATGGGGGTGGGCGCAGGGCGATGGGGGGACAGCCGGGCGCGGGGCCGCCCGCCGCCTAAGCTACCTACGTCCCTCTATGGCTTCTGCACGGGCACGGGCGGGCGGCGCGAGGCATGGCTTTGGTGTGGATGACGGCCCCGCCCGGCCCGCGGGGCGGCGCGCGAGGGTCACAAGTTGGAAGAGAGGCGCGAGCGCGCCGAGTCCAGCGGGTCGAGACCACCGGCAGCGCCAGGTGAGGCTGAGTCCCTGCGGTCCGGGCTGGGCGCGGAGGTCCGGGCGGTGGGCGCGGGGCCCAGGCGCGGCGTGGAGCTGCTGGCCGGGCGCGCGGAGGCCGCGGGGCTGGGCGCGGGCGCGCCGTGGGGCAGCGAGGGCTGCGAGGCGGACAGCGGGCGCGAGGCTCGGCTCAGGCGGCGCGCGGGCAGTGCGGGCCCCACTCGCGTGGCCGGAGAGCCGGGCGCGCCGTAGGGTGAGGTCCGCGGTGCCCGGGGGCTGGAGGGCACGGCCGGGGGGCTGACGGCTGGCGGCCCCGGCGAGGCTGCGGGAGGCGGAGGCCCCGGGGGCGCGCGGCGCACGAGACGCGGGGAACCGAGCGCCAGGGGCCCCACGAGCGGGCGCGCCACCTGCGGGCAGAAGCTCATGGCCACAGCCTGCTGCAGGGTGGCGATGGCCGAGGTGACCTGCGGCGGCGGCGGTGGCGGGAAGAGCCCCACGCGCTGGCCCAGCTCGGCCTGCTGCACCATCTCGCGGTCGTACTTGACTATCTCCTGGATGATGGCGTTCTCCTGGTTGTTGAACACGCCCGAGCTGAGGTCGTGCTGAACCTTGTGCAGCAAGATGGAGTTCTTCTTGCCTGCGGGCAGAGTAGGGGCTCAGTGCTGGCCTGAGTACCTGCCCACGCAGCAAGCACGAGCGCAGCACCTGCTGTGTATGGTACAGCTGGCACGCAGCCGGCATGCTCTGAGCACCCACTGTATGCAGTTGTGTGGGACCTGTGTAATTTCCAACTACTGAGTGCCTGTCCCCTGTTAAGTGGCTGCCGCATACATGGGGTACAGGTGAGCACCCACGGTCTGTAAAGGAAATCCAGCACAGCGTCTGTCCGGGTGTGTGCCCGCTGACCCGTCCTGCCCCACTGCATTGAGTCCTCTGTCCTGTCCTCCGCTCCTCCTCTCCCTGCCTCACACAGGCCACCAGCCTCCTTCCAGAGGAGGAAGGCTTTGTTACCCAACACACCTAATGCTTATTGAGCCCGAGTTGTTTCCACCAGGCCCTGTGTTGTCCTCCAGACCTTTCCACCCCGGGGCTTGGCCTGCTGTGTTCACTCCAGGAAGACCCCACACACACACCCGTGTCGCCTGGACACTCCTCAGCACCCTGTCCTTATGCAGGCCGTGCCTCTACTTCCCCGACCCCTCCCAGACAGCCTGGCACTCACCGATGCGGTCCAGGCGGTCGATGGCCACCGTCTCGAAGGCGCGCCGCATCATCGGGTACTCCTCCAGTACCTCGTTGAAATTGTCCACGCTCAGCGAGTATAGGCGGCAGTAGGTGTCAGCCCGCACGCTGGCTGTGCGCCGGCCTCTTGTGAGCAGGCAGATCTCTGCAAAGCAAGGGTGGAGCCTCAGCGCTCCCCGACCGTACAGGACCCCCTGACCGGCGCCCCCTCCCAGGCCCTCCCTCGGCCCCGCCGCTCACCCCCAAAATAGGAGCCGTCTGACAGCTTCATCTCCTTGTTGCCCTTGGTGAGCACGCTCACCACCCCGTGCTGGATGAAGTACATCTTCTTGCCAATGGTCCCCTCTCGGATGATGTAATCCCCAGGCTGGAAGACCTCAAACTTGAGCTTTGTCAGCATGGCTGTGACAAAGTTAGGGTCTGCATTGGCAAACAGTGGCATGGAAGCCACCAGCTTCCGGCAGTTGAAGTTCACGATCTCCTGTGGGGGAAGAAGGGGATGGCTTGGTAACCCAGACCCTCAGTTTCCTCTGTGCTACACTATCCAACTTCCAAGACGCAAGGGCAGGAGATGGGCTCAAGACATACAGTCAGGTCCCCACGCCACTACGGGATGGGTGACAGCGGGCTGGAGAAAGCCAGTACAGCTAAAGGGAAAGTGAAAAGCGGTCTCTTTTTAGATAACAGGACCACAAAAGGTTCCCAAAAGGATTAAAGGAGGGCTGGAGCTTAGTGGCTTGAGCCCTCTTCTGGCCTGCCCTGGGTTCCACACCCAGCATGGCATAAACCAGGTCATGCATGCCTCTCAGCTCAGCACTCTGGAGGTGGAGGCAGGAGGATTAGGAGTTCAAGGTCCTCCTCACCAAAAAGGAACATTCTAGGACATACTGAGCTACATGAGACCCTGTGTCATACAAACAAAACACTTCTAAAGGGAAAGGAGGCCGCACCACATGCGCCCTCAGGCCTCTTAGTCATCGTGTCCGTTCTCTCTTTGTTACATACTCAGTGTAATTCTCAGCCAGGATGCATCATGCTTGTGCTTCTTAAACAGCTGAATCTAGTCAAGGTCACTGCCAAGAGCAAATAAGCAAAAGCCAGTAGGAAGCCCTGGGCGAAGGAGACCAGCCTCCATGATTCACTGTCATGACAGGGCTGGCGCTGTGAGCTCAGAGCCCCCCAAAGCGGAGGGACTCAGAGGAACTCGGGGCAAAGTGACCATCCAAGTCAGGTCAGTTGCCTCAGGCTTGCCATCCCACAGCCCTAAGGGGGTGGGACGGCCGGGAGTGGGGCTGACTCAGAAGGAGTGACACAAGTTTGAGGTCACCCTGTGCTGTATTGTGAAAACCTTGTCTCAAAAATGGAAAAGAGGTGGCTGGGGAGATGTTAAGAGCACTGTCTGCATTTCCAAAGGACCCTGGTTCAATTCCCAGCACCCACATGGCAGCTCACAACTGTCTGTGGTTCCAGTTCCAAGGCATCTGACAGCTTCATACTAATACACATAAAATTAAATAAATTATTTTTTTAAAAATGGAAAAGAAAGGCCGGAGAGGTTTCTCCCCAGTTAAGAGCACTGGTGATTATTCCGGAGGACCTAGCCTACTTGATGGTTTGCAACTCTAACTCCAGTCCCAAGGGCTCAGGTGCCCTCTTCTGGCTGCTGATGGCACATGGGGCACAGACACTCAGGCAAAACACCCATATACATTTTAAAAATGTGTTAAAAAATGTTTCCTCTGGACTGGTGGTAAAGTTCCAGAGCTGGAGATGGACGCCTCTACCACAGACTCGTGAACTTCATGCGTTCCGTGGCCTGTGGGCCACAGTGAGAGCAACAAGCCAATACTGTTGCATATCTCCAAGGCCATTAACCGGAGGCCGCCTCCTGGGATGTCCTCGCACAGCCCTGGGCCCCAAGCCTGGGGCCCCACAAGGCTCTGCACAGGTGCCTGGCCGCCCAGCCTTGGCAGCTTCCTCCTGGAATTCCCTCCTGGGGGCCTCTGCCCTGGACCTGCCCTCCACCTGGGACCTGGACAGCAGGCCCTGGCTTCAGCCCACTCCTCCCCCGTTTGCCTACATTGCAGTTCCTCGTCCACGGACCCCACCTCACTGGCTAACAGCCAGACTGCATCTCGAGCCCAGAACCTATGAATGGGATTTTATTTGGAAATGGAGTCTTTGAAGAGTTATACAGATGAAATCAAGCTTTAGGGGTGAGAGGTGAGGACAGAGCTGCAGAGATAGTTCATGTCAAGGCAGTGCTCACCATGCAAGCATCTTCAAGACATGTGAAAAGCCAAGGTGCCGGTGTATCCTTGGCATCCCTGGTCTGGGGAGGCAGAGGCCTGGCTTGATGGCCAGCCTGCCTAGCTGAATGGCTGGGCCCCAGGTCAGTGAGAGATCCTGTCTCACAGGAGGCGGACAGTGTTCTCAAAGGCAAAACCAAGGTTGCCTTCTGGCGCCGTGCACGTGTGCACGTGTGCACGCAGTGTGTGCACTTAAGGACAGCTGGAACGAGCATTTGCTGCTCAATCATGAGGACCAGAGAGCCTGGATCCTGGCACCCGTATCTGGTGGCTCACAAATGCCTGTGACTCCAGCTCTAATGGCTCAGACACCACTTCTGGCCTCATGGGCATCGGCGCACACACACACACACACACACACACACACACACACACACACACACACATCAAATAAAATCTTCAAAGGTGGGGGCCTGGAGAGATGGCTCAGTAGTTAGAGCACTGGCTGTTCTTTCCAGAGAACCTGGGCTCGGCTCCCAGCACCCACATGGTGGCTCACAACTGCCAGGAATTCAGTTCCAGGGGGTCCAAGTGCCATGTTCATACATGGTGCAGAGACACAGGCAAGCAGCACACGCACACATGAAATTAAGTAACGGGCACAGATGATGGGAGAGGCAGGAGGGACCCTCCCCTAGGGCTTTGGAGGAAGCATGGCTGCACAGATGTGTGTGTTTCGTGTCCTGCGCCTGGGAGACGTCGTGTTTGAGGCTGGCAGGCAAGCAGGTGTTGACCAGGGAAATCCTGGGCAGTTTGCCCAGGGGTGTCCACAGCTGGCTTTAAACCAGTGGGTCAGGCCCAATCTCATGGGTCCCACACGTAG